GAGATTTAAAATTCCCAGGGCTTGCAAGGGGGAGGGGCAGGTTGGCTGAAGGGCACCGGAGTTCAAACTGCTGACCAGAGTGGAGCATGGGAATTCCTGGACACTTTCTGGAGGCCAATAAAATCGGAAAAAAAGGCATTGTAGTGCGTACACTATCGCTGTTTTGTCGCCAAAAGGCAGTTTTTGGTGACAAAACTTGCCAGTGTAGACAAGCCCTTAGTAGTTCTGCAATTTCACATTTGAGTTCCTTCAGAACTCTTGGGTGAATACCATCTGGTCCTGCTGACTTATTACTGTTTAGTTAATCAATTTGTTCCAAAACCGCCTCTAATGACATCTCAATCTGGGACAGTTCCTCAGATTTGTCACCTAAAAAGAATGGCTCAGGTTTGGGAATCTCCCTCACATCCTCAGCCATAAAGACCAATGCAGAGAATTCATTTAATTTCTCCACAATGGCCTTATTGTCTTGGAGTGCTCCTTTAGCATCTCGTTTGTCCAGTGGCCCCACTGGGTGTTTAGCAGGCTTCCTGCTTCTCATGTACTTAAAAAGTAATAGCAAAAAATGTTTTGAGTCTTTGGCTAGCTGTTCTTCAAATTCCTTTTTGGCCTTCCTAATTATGTTTACACCTCATTTGCCAGAGTTTATGCTCATTCAATTTTCCTCACTAGGATTTAACTTCCACTTTTTAAAGGATGACTTTTTGCCTCTCACTGCTTCTTTTACTTTGTTGTTTAGCCACGGTGGCTCTTTTTTGGTTCTCTTACTATGTTTTTTAATTTGGGGTATACATTTAAGTTGAGCCTCTATTATGGTGTCTTTAAAAAGTTTCCATGCAGCTTGCAGGATTTCACTTTTGGCTTTGTACCTTTTAATTTCTGTTTAACCTCATTTTTGTGTAGCTCCCCTTTCTGAAATTAAATGCTATGGTGTTGAGCTGCTGTGGTGTTTTCCCCAACACAGGGATGTTAAATTTAATTATATTATGGTCACTATTACCAAGCGGTCCAGCTTTATTCACACATCTTGGACCTGATCCTTTGCTTCATTTAGGACTAAATCCAGAATTATCTCTCCTCTTGTGGGTTCCAGGACTAGCTGCTCCAAGAAGCAGTCATTTAAGGTATCCGGAAACTTTATGTCTGCATCCCACCTGAGGTGACATGTACCCAGTCAATAGGGGATAGTTGAAATTCCCCATTATTGATTTTTTTATTTTAATAGCCTCTCTAATTTCCTTGAGCATTTCACAGTCACAATCACCATCCTGGTCAGGTGGTCGGTAATCAATCATAGAATATCAGGGTTAGAAGGGACCTCAGGAGGTAATCTAGTCCAACCCCCTGCTCAAAGCAGGACCAATCCCCAACTAAATCATCCCAGCCAGCGCTTTGACAAGCCTGACCTTTAAAACCTCTAAGGAAGAAGATTCCACCACCTCCCTAGGTAACCCATTTCAGTGCTTCACCACCCTCCTAGTGAAAAAGTTTTTCCTAATATCCAACCTAAACCTCCCCCACTTCAACTTGAGACCATTACTCCTTGTTCGGTCATCTGTACCTCTGAGAACAGTCTAGATCCATCCTCTTGGGAACCCCCTTTCAGGTAGTTGAAAGCAGCTATCAAATCCCCCCTCATTCTTCTCTTCTACAGACTAGATAATCCCAATTCCCTCAGCCTCTCTCCTCATAAGTCTTGTGCTCTAGCCCCCTAACCATTTTTGTTGCCCTCCGCTGGACTCTTTCCAATTTTTCCACATCCCTCTTGTAGAGTGGGGCCCAAAACTGGACATAGTATTCCAGATGAGGCCTCACCAATGCCGAATAGAGGGGAATGATCACATCCCTCGATCTGCTGGCACTGCTCCTACTTATACAGCCGAAAATACTGTTAGCCTTCTTGGCAACAAGGGCACACTGTTGACTCATTCAGCTTCTTGTCCACTGTAACCCCTAGGTCCTTTTCTGCAGAACTGCTGCCTAGCCACTCGGTCCCTAGTCTGTAGCAGTGCATGGGATTCTTCCGTGCCGGCCAATCTCCAGCCCCCTCCGGAGCGCTGCACCGGGCCATCCCAACCCCCCACGCCCACCCCCCCCCCCAGCGTCACGCGACCGAAACAAACAAAAAAACCAACAACCCTCGAGTGCCGCCCTGCCGAAAAAAACCCAACTACACCGCGAGCGCCCCCCGCCACCCCAACATTGGCTGCCCCTTAAAAGGAGCTGCCCCAAGCACGTGCTTGGTTGGCTGGTGCCTGGAGCCAGCCCTGTTTAGGGCACTCTGCTTGATACCGGCTGCCAATTAGACATGGAGCCATTGATCACTACCCTTTGAGCCTGATGATCTAGCCAGCTTTCTATCCACCTTACAGTCCATTCATCCAGCCAATACCTCTTTAACTTGCTGGCAAGAATACCATGGGAGACCGTATCAAAAGCTTTGCTAAAGTCAAGGAATAACACACCCACTGCTTTCCCCTCATCCACAGAGCCAGTTATCTCATCATAGAAGGCAATTAGGTTAGTCAGGCATGACTTGCCCTTGGTGAATGATTAAAGGATTAGATTGATTCTATAGGCATGTTTTCCATTTAGTTTAACAAAGAGAAGGTAAAGAGGTGACTTGATTACACATTAAAAGTACCTACATTGTGAACAAAAATTTGAAGAAGGGATCTTCATTGTAGCAGAGAAAGGTTTAACACTATTAAATGACAAAGCTTAAACTATTAAAAAAATTTAAAAAATTAACCATTGAATAATTTACCAGGGGCATGATGGATTCTCCATCCTTGGCAGTTTTTAAAATCAAGATTGGATGTTTTTCTAAAAGGTATGCTCTAGAAATTATTTCAGGGAAGTTCTCTGGCCTGTACTATGCAGGAGGCTAGACTAGATGATCACAGTTGTCCCTTCTGGTCTTGGAATCTATTAATCGAGCCTGACATTAATCCTGGGCAAAACAGAAAAGCGAATATGAAAGTCAGTCAATAAAGAATGGGATTATAATTCATGTCAGTCAACATGCTTATGGAAAAGAGATTGTCATACAAATGCCATTTAATTTTTGATGAGATTACGTATTTAGTTGATAAAGCTAACTACATACATGTATATACTTGTATGAAGTAAAATGATAAATTTACCCACTTTTCCTGTTCTTAATTTGTCTAAAGACAAACCAGGGGTACTATATACTTCTTAATTTGTAATTATCCATAAATTTCTGTGAAACCATTACAGCTGGCTTTATAAAAAATTGGTTGAATGATGAATATTACATGCATAGTGTACATTCACTAAAATACAAAAATAGAAGCAGGAGTACGATATTTGGAAAAGTTTAGCCCAGAAATGAAACTTTGGCTCTGGGAGTGGCATATTCTAATCACTTCATAACAGCTGCAGGTACATGTTCCTTGAGGAGACCACAAAGTATTTTGTCACATGTAGCCAAGTCTAAACCTAATTCCTTATTCAAGAGCTATTTACAAAATGGAAGTGGGGTTGTGGTTATCTTATTGCTCAGGAATAATGCTTTAGTTTGGAGAAGGACATCCACTTAAGAACAGTCTAATAGTTACAAGAACATGTCACTTGCAGGGGGACCTAATAAGTATTTTGTTACTTATAGCCAAAGTATTTATTTCAAAGTATTTATTACTCAAATTGATTTGAAAAATTAAATAATGCATTAATTGCTATAAAATGCACTCATTTATGGTGAAGTTTCCGAAACATTTAATTTTAGATTTAATAATTTAAAAAAATGTGGTATTTGGCTAAGAAACTGGGACCCACAAATAAGAAATTGGAACTAAGGAATTAACTTCATCCTCCTCAGATACCAACTATTGTTCACGTGGAGCTGTATTTTAAGTGCGTTTTTGAATTTGGAATGGTTTGTGCGCACAGTCTCTGACAACAGGTACACCATAGACACTGGAGAATAGGAATAGATGTTGGAATCACCAAGAGACCAGACCATCATGCCTAGCCAGTTTCATAGTCCCTTTCAGAGTGATTACCAAGCAAGGCATGGTAAGGGATGTGACTGTTTCTGGCCATGATCCTAAATGTTCTGATCATTGCCCTCAGTCAAAGAAGCTGTTAGACAGCACCTGTGAAGTGTATGTAGAGGAGGCAGAGGCAGCTCAGAGATGAGGCACTCACTACCATCCACCTACCTGGAATACAGCAAGCAGCGCCGAGAGAAGCGATGCTGTCGCCACCATCATCTCCCAGACTAGGACCCTGGGACTCTTCATGGAAACACACTGGATGACCACATCCTTCTGCAAAGGTGAGCCAGGGGGCTGTACAGGTTGAACATGTGGGCCAGAGGGGTAGGTAGTGGAGAAAAGGAAATGGGGCAGTCACCCAGCCTGAGAGGGAGATGGGGGAGCAGCAGCTACCTGGCCTGAGGGAAGTAAAGGGTGGTGGTGGAAGCAGCCACCTGGCCTGAGTGGGAAGGGGAGGACAGTACATGGGGGAGGCAGTGACAAGGTGGAGCCAAAAGCAGCAGGATGAACTTCGTGGTCACAAGCACTGCCCCTGGTCCACCTGGTCACGGTGCCTCTCTGGAGCCATCCACCCGGTAACAGCTAAACCCTCTGAACTTGTGAGCCAACAGCACCCTTCCCTCCCCCCACCAAGTGCAGTGGTGGCCTTGCACCCACTCAGGCCCATTGCAAGGGTGGACCTTGCCCTCTGCCCATGAGGCAGCTCATCCTGCCCTACCACACCTCTCTAGCTGTAGGGTAGGGAGCTGGAGCCCAGGCTGTATCTGGCCTGTGACTGACCCCCCTGATCCCCCCCAGCTGGCAGAAGCAGTGCAGGAGTGCTCTGCTAGTAAGCCTAGCTGGCACCATGGAGGACTGCCCCCCTGTGCACGCCCCTTCTCCTCGCATAAAACGTTGCTCGGAGCTGTGCTGTGTGTGGTTTGATCATTGTGAAGGCCGAGGCAGCCGAGACTGGCAGGAAGGGATAGGGACCAGTGGTACAGTAAATGACTTTTATTTTAAAAAGTGAACATATTAACAGGCCTGCAGGTGGCACTACAGTACAGCTGGGCAGAAGGTAGATACATTTCCCCATGGACCCAGACAATGAAATCATCGCTTCAATGCTGACATTTAGTTAATTCTGGATACAGTTCTACCAAACTGAATTTACTGAAAATATTTCTGGACAAAGCCAATATTGAAAATTAATTTTCCTTCAGTTTTGGGAAATGACAGACATCCCGAGCTACCACTGGTACTTGGGGAAATATCGCCTGGAGCTACCAGTGCAGGGGGAGATGGACAACATCTCCATGTCAGGACAAAATACATGTCCTGTTTTACTTCTCACTTTGTGGAATCTGTGGGGAGTGAGGAGTCCGTTTCTATTCGCTCTCCTTTGGCTGATTTTGTGCTATTTTAGACTGATTTCTATAAATCATTTCTTGATTTTATTGAAAGGAAGACTAAATGTAATGTGCCTTTCCTTGTAAATCCAGTAACAGTTGTGATATTTCAAAAATACTAAAAATATCTACTTTCATGAAATATTAACTGTTTCACTACAAACCTAGTTTTTCACTAAATACACAATTCTCCTACTCCTGGAGCCTCCTGGGAAAAGCAGTGGGTTCTCCCTGTATATCTGTAATTCTACAGTGTATAGAGAAATGGCTACAAGAAGGGGTGTGTGAAGAACAGCTTTATCCCTTTTCCTGTATCGCACTAGGGAGGATTGTGTGTATTTCTGTGGTTGGACTCCTGTTGATCACACTCATTCAGCAGCTATCTACCTAGGTCTGCAGTAGGATACCCCACCTCTAGCACATTCCTTATAACTTCTTGGAGACTAACTAGGCATGAGGAAAAATGTCCACACTCTTATACCACTTCTAATCATAATATGGAGGAACACCACATGGTTTCCAGGCAATTCCAATTTGCAAAAGGCCACAGGAAAGGGACACGGCACCTTTCATTAGAATAAGGAATTCTGCATGTAACAGTGCGATCTTCCATCAGACTTTCAATATTGAGGCAGTGTAGAAACAGTGGCTGAAGGGTGTATGTAATACTGACCACACCAGCTCTTAGTGAGAGGCCTCTGCTCCTGCAGAGGAAGTCATGTGCAGTCCCTGTATGTACTGTGAGAAAAGGCTTACTTCACGGGAGGGGGAGGGTTAGAATTAGCAACTCCTAAGACCTAGCCAATTTGGATTCATGAGCCTTCAGTGTGCCAACAGCATCTTTTACTGCATGGTAGATAATGTTCTTCACCTGTAAGAAACAGAAAAAAAATAATCAATACAAACTTTTAAACCTGTCATAATGAGCAGCATCTCCACCCTAGCAAGAAGTCAGAGTTTAAGGCCAGAAGAGACCACTAGATCATCCAGTCTGACCTCCTGTATATTACAGGCCACTAATCCAATCTAGCATCCACACACTAACCCAAGTGACTCCTACTGCTCTATAAAACAGTTATTTACTAGACTTTGGGGGCTGAATATATAATAGATGTAAAATGCAAACATGAAGTCATCAGAGACCGAGAGAGAGACACCAAAAATGCTAAACTTATTAAATAATACTATTGCTGCTTCACGAAGTTGCAAACAGCACTGTTATATAAATGTCAAAATCAGACCCCATGCAAAATTTATTAAACAACTGCACTGCTATGTTATTTATCCACTTTATGGTAACCCAGGATTAATTTATTGGCTATTATCTTTTTAGATTTTAAGCTTCTCCTTGCAAGGCCACTTGATCAGGCAAAATATTAAGTCTTTCATATTAAACTCTTGCCCAAATGGGTTGTATGTTATGAGCAAATTATTCATAGATTCACAGACTAAGGCCAGAACGGACTATTATATTATCTAATCAGACTTCTATATCAGAGACCCATAAATTTCATCCAGTTATCTCTATACTGAGTGCAAGGTTTTGACTAATGCATGTCTTGATTCAAAGACATCAACAGATGGAGAATCCAACACTGCCCGTGGTAGTTTGTTCCAATGGTTAAATCACCCTCACTTAAATTCAAATTAGAAATTAGGCACAATTTTCTGTCTGGGTTCAGCTTCCAGCCATTGTTCCTTGTTATGCATTTCTCCACTAGATTAAAGAGTCTTTCAGTACTCAGTATTTCCCTCCCATATATTCTGTCATCAACTCATCTCTCAATCTTCTTTTTGATAAACAAATGGAGCTCATTAATTCTCTCACAATAAGGCATTTTGTCTAGTCCTCAAATCATTTTTGTGTTCTATTCTGCACCCTCTCTAATTTTTCCAACATCCTTTTAAAAATGTGGACATAAGAATAGGACACATTACTCCAGTATGGATCTGAGCAATGCTATATCCAGAGGAAAAAGTCACCTCCTCCCTAGTCCTACTCAACTACTCCTTATAGATCCAAGGATTTCATTAGCCCTCTTTGCCACAGCATCACTCTAGGAGCTCATACGATAATTTATTTGTATTTCTGTAGTGCCTAGATGTCCTAGTTGAGTTGCTTGTCCACTATGATTCCTAGCTCCTTTTCAGAGTCACTGATTTCTAGAATACAGTCTGCCCCCCACCAATTCAGGAGGTACTGCCTCCACTTTTCTTAGATGTATAACTGGTATTTGGCTATATTAAAATGCATTCTAATTGAATGGGCCCTCTTTACCAAGTGACCCAGATTATTCTGCATGACTACCTTGGTCATCTTTATTTACTATCCCTCTAATCTTTGTGTCCTCCACAAATTTTTTTTCCATCAGCAGGGATTCTGTATTAAATTTTCAGATCATTGATGAAAACGTGTTGAATAGCTTGGGGCCTAGTACTGATCTCATGACACCCCAATAGAACATCCCCATTTGATGACTTCCCACTGACCACTACTTTTTGAGATCTGTCAGACAGTTCCAAGTTCTTAATCTATTTAACATGTGCTTTACTGATATTGTGTATGCAAATTTTTTAAATGAGGACATCATGCAGTATTAAGTCAAACATCTTACAAAGATAAGTATTTTACATCTACAGTTACCCGCTTTATCCATCAAACTTGTAATAATCAAAAAATGAAACTGGGTTTATTTGACAAAGGTATTTTCCACAAAATCATGTTGACTAGCATGATATTCTCATCCTTTAATTCTTTATTGATTGACTCCCAAATCAGTTTCTCCATCATTTATCAGGGATTAACGTCACTCATTATCACTCTTCAAGTCTTTCTGAAATTTCCCTAGTATGCCAAGATTTATTAAAATTAACACTGGTGAGCCACAGCTCATCTCAGCCAACTCTTGGATAACTTTTGTGTGCAAGTTATTCAGGCCTGCCAATTAAAAAAAGTATTTATTCCCTACTAGATGTTTAACATTATCCTGATTTACTAATGGTTTGGAAAGTATATCATCCTTATATGACAAGAGTACATCAACCTGCTTCTTTCCAAAAATGGAACAGAATTTTTTATTGAACACGTTTGCCTTGTCTGTGTCATTAACAATTTTACCATCTTCATCTAGTACTCGGTCTATATCATTTCTAGGGTTTCTTGTGTTCCTAATATACTTAAACTCCTTATTGTTCTTAGCCCTGCCAGCAATGGATTTTTCCCTGATGTCTTCAACAATTTTCTACCCTTCCTAACTTCTAATGTATATTGACTGCTATCTATTTCCTCTTTTTTCCATTTGTAATGCATTGATTTTTATTCCTAATCGTGGAGTTCACTTCACCACTGAAACAGGTAGGTTATGCAACTCAGTTTAAACCAGTTTTTAAACAAACATTTTAAAAATGCAAAGTAAATAAGTACCTGTATAAGAATAGAAGAGCAACAAGGAATAGACACACTATCAATTCTAAAGCTTCAAGATAGTTAATTTCCTAGTGCCTGTGCCCTGGCTAATCACCTAATTATTAAGTTTCCATAACTGCATTATGAAGCATGCACACGTGTGCTCAGTATTAGCTTTAGCTGACCGGTTTAGTTTTGATTATTATGTGCTTAATTTTTCAAGCCCTATATATAAATTCATGAAGATCAGCCATTACTGCCACAAAGGAAAAATCATAAAGCCCTTCCAATTCCTTTTTGGCTTTTAAGAGATAGACATCAGGCCCATTCAGACCAGTAGACACCTGTTTTAAAGAATGCAACTACTAGCTTTTCTGTTTTCACTACCTCTGTCAACTTACTCATCTAAGGATGCACTTGCACATCTGCATCATTATATCAGAAGAATAACATAGTCTAGTGCAGCAGTTCTCACTAGGCATACACATACCCTTGAGGGTATGCAGAGGTCTTCCAGGGGGTACATCAACTCATCCAGATAGTTGCCTAGTTTTACAACAGACTATATGAAAAAGCACTAGCGAAGTCAATACAAACTAAAATTTCACACAGCCAATTACTTGTTTATACAGCTCTATATACTATATCAGTGTTTCTTAACCTTGCGGGGGGGGGGGTCGTGATTTATTTTATAATTATAAATAGGACAGTCTTTGCTTGTGATGAAACAAAGGTAAAATCCTTCTTACAACAAGGAGTCTGGTGGTACCTTAAAGACTAACAGATTTATTTGGGCATAAGCTTTGGGGGGGTCAAAACCTCACTTCTTCAGATGTACCCACGAAAGCTTATGCCCAAATAAATCTGTTAGTCTTTAAGGTGCCACCAGACTCCTTGTTGTTTTTGTAGATACAGACTAACACGGCTACCCCCTGATACTTGACTTCTTACAACAACAGAAGAGATTTAATAGGCAGCTTTGTCTTCTGCCGTTTACCCTCACCAGACTTTAATAATTTTTGAGCCAAGCAATATGATCCATCATGTAAGGATGAAAGTGTTCCTGTCCAGGGACAGCTCACTTGAGGTTAGTGCTAGTCCTTTGCTTAGGTAGCTAAATCCCAGGATGTAGATTTTTGCCAAAAATATGGAATGCTTCTATCAAATTAAAAGCTCCAAAGTTGTAAAGTATTTATTTGTCCTGATTCACTAGCCATATGCATGTTCATAAGTGCTTCAAAACTTCCAACATATAGGATCTACTCAGAGATTGTTCCAGCAGGATGGACTGACAGTTACCTGCAGTTTATCCTCATGGTTTGTGTGAGTGTTAGATAGGTGCCTGAATTCCTGGGTCAGGCGGAAGCAGTGCTTTACATGTTCTGGAGATACAAAATCTTCTGCCACTTTAATGCAACTGTACAGATTATGAACCTGAAAAAAGTAGTAGTATTAGACGTTAGATACACCACAAGACTGAATGACCCAAAACAGAATTAATGCAAATGAATCCACGTACAATAGGTTCCTGCACACACATCTACCAAAAAGAGATTGAAACACTCCAGTTTCCTGTAAGACAGTTCACATAATTGTATCTTAAGTTAGAGATCCAAAAAAACCTATTGGATCCCAGCTGGCCCATATTTCCACAGTACACTCTCTAGTGAACTTTATTGGTTCACATGCTACCTTCTTAAAAAAAGTGCTGTGAAGGGAACTGACAGACCATCAAGCTTATACACCGCAGTTTGGGAAACCCTGCTCCAGTATTTTAGCTACCATAGATTTAGATGTCCAAAGTGATGGGTCTTCCACTACTTCCTTGGGAGTCTCTTCAGTGGCCTAAGGAGATCTCCATATCAGAAAGTTTTTTCCTCACATTCATCCTAAATGTTCCCTTTCTTAATTTCATCCCATTACTTTACACCCACACCATGCCACATATATATATAATCATGCTCAATGTGATGCTTGAGCACTATTAAATAACTCCTGTAGAACTGTATTATTAGAACTGCAGAGCCCAAGACAGCAGCCTTACTTCAGAGTTCTTTCGGGAGCCAAATCATAAATCCAAATAACTACAGTTTTATAGTGTCCCAAATTCACTTGCCATCATCTTTATGGCCTCTACAGCATGACATTTACCTGGTGGGGGGCACCTGCAGGAATAAACACAGCATCTCCCAGGAACTGCACTATTGCCCAGCCTTGTACTCCATATTCCTCATAAAGACGCTTACGTAGGGTCTGGTCCAGATACCAACTTTGGTCATGAATTGGATCATGATCCGGGGGGTTTTCTTGGCCTTGTTCATCTCCAACCTAATACAAAGATACAAAAACATTTATACAAAGATATTGCAGTTCAGTGGTCCTACTTCTCATAAAGTACTTTTCACCAACATACTGAGGACAAACACGATCTTAAGCTACTTCAATGTGAGAGACTACCAACTCAGATCATAAATAATTTTAAGGTCAAGGCATCTGTACCAGTAAGTATCCCTTCCACATTCACCCCTGAGATCTTAGCCCACAGTGAAAGCTTACACTTCCTCCATGCTTGGGCGTAAACTCATTCCCAGTTTTCTCAAACTGGGACATGATGCCCATACAGATTTACTAGTATAAACCATATCCAGGCAGCAGGATAGTAGTTTGTCACTGAATATACGACCAGCTGTACATGTCCTTTTCTTAAACCATATTCATAGAAGAGGGAAACATTTGGGATTTTTGTAGGTGCATCTGTATTTATGCTCATGAGTGTCAGCTGAGGCAGACTCAACTTGAAGCTTAAGATCCCTATTGATAAACCTTTCTAAGGCCCTGTTAGGCCATAAGCTCCTTCAATCACCATCATACCTTTCGGAGAAGTTCACGGATCTTCTCAGCATCCTTGGCAGCGTAGATGTGCCACAGTGCTCCAGGCTTCTCTTTCCCTTCATGGATTCGCTGCTTTGTCACATCATCAGCATCTCCCTCATCAATTGTTTTCAGTACTTCTGAAAGGAGGATCCACACAAAAGCTGAACAAGGTCACATGAATTTACAGCTCCTGTATTTAATATGCAAAAGTCGGCATAACAAACTTTGACATTGTGCCTGCCAGTCAATAGCTATCTAGAAGGAAGCATGATAACTTAGTCATAAGAAATCTCTAGTTTGAGACCAGAGTAACCTTTGTTTTTCCCCCCAAGAAAGGGTTAGATCTATCCAGTTACAACACCACTATTACTTTCATAGTAATGTCCTGGAAAAAGCATTAATGACTAGTGACCACTGTCTATGCCTCTGAACATCTACTGAGACATAGCCCAAATCGCCAAAGCAGGTTATTATAGCTGGCAAAGATTTCAAGGCCTTTTGAACAACCCAAGGAAGACCTCCTTCCACACCCCAAAATGTCCAAAGACAGTTATTTAAACATTACCATCGTCATGGGCTCCTTCCCCAATGGGGATGCCAACATACACCATGACATTAACAGCATCAGACACATCCAAATGGAGATTGGTTGTACCAACTCGCCTGTCTTCTGCAGTTATTAACCCTATGAAAAAAGAGGAGAGTAAAAAGATGAATATTGTAAAACAAGCAAGCTTTAATTCTTACAAAAATATCCTCCTTTTGGAAGGGTGGGAATGCTTCCCACTATGTGTGCTACTTTTGCTTTCTGCTATCACCCAGCAAAAATGCTTAGCTTGTAACAGAACTGAAAAGGTTTATTTTTCATACTGGGATAGACATGAAAAAATTGCAAATGTATTGAAAGCTAGTTAAAAGTTTAGTACAAAAACAGCATGTTAGAAGTTTAGTCTGTCCCTGTTTATAAGGGAGATCATTAACTCTGAAGATAAGTCTGAATTTGTGCTCTGCAGCTTTGTGTATCTACAGGTCATTTGTTCCCAGTTGAAGCGAGAAGACTTGCTTTGGCAATGCTCATAGCAAAAATCCTCTCTCCCCTGCTTTACTGGTACTTGCATTTCCATTCCCCTTTTCCTCCCTTCTCTCCTCCTTTGTCCCCTCATCCTCCTCTCTGTAGTGTCCCCTTCTTTTTCCTTTATCTTGGTTTAGGAAATCTCCCAAAAAACCCTATCCAAAAATTAAAAAAGAAAAAACAAATTAATGGAATCAATTTGATGTTTGCAGATCATCATGCTGTTACTCTGCTTGTTTATCTTCTCCGCACTACTCTGTGTGTCCTGTCTATTTAAACTGTAAACTCTGAGAAAGGATTTTCTTAGGGCTTGTCTTCATATACTGCGCAGCTGCGCCACTGTAGCACTTTAGCAAAGATGCTACTAGACCAATAAGAGAGCTTCTCCCGTTGGCGTAATTAATCCACATGCCTGAGAGGCGGTGGCTATGTCAGCAGATGCTCTCCCGTCGACATAGCTCTGTCTACACGGGGCGAGGGGGTTTGGTATAACTACGTTGCTCAGGGGTGTGGATTTTTCACACCCTCGAGCGACGTAGTTATACCGATACATGTCTGTCGCGTAGAGCTGGCCTTACTCTGTATAGCACCTAGTATCAGATTCATAGAATATCAGGGTTGGAAGGGACCTCAGGAGGTCATCTAGTCCAACCCTCTGCTCAAAGCAGGACCAATTCCCAGCTAAATCATCCCAGCCAGGGCTTTGTCAAGCCTGACCTTAAAAACCTCTAAGGAAGGAGATTCCACCACCTCCCTAGGAAACCCATTCCAATGCTTCACCACCCTCCTTGTGAAAAAGTTTTTCCTAATATCCAACCTAAACCTCCCCCACTGCAACTTGAGTCCATTACTCCTTCATTAATGGGGCATTAATGCTAGCTAAGGATTCTAGACAGGAGGCTAACAGACATCTTTTCTCAGTGGGTTTTAAAACTGGAATGGGCACATGAGCTTCTCCAAGAAACTTTTCAAATTGTAATTAGACAAGAACATCTAACTACAAAGACTCAGTGAGCTGCAGCAATTTAAAGCAGATATAATGCTGCCTATGAAACAAGACTTTGGAAAATATTACAAGAAAGAATTTACATAATATGAGAATAGAAGGTACCATGGAACTGGAATTCATGGTATTCAGAACCTGCTAAAACCAAATTTTACTTCTCCTGCAAAGAAGAAAATGTACAAGTTTCCAGCCTCACCTGTAGGTGCTCCAGGCATTAGAACATTTGGCTGGATTGTCTGCTAGAGTAATCTAATATTGTGATTGTGAGAACATCGGAAGACAGAAACCATATTTTACATCCAATGTGATGAACGAAAAGACAGTTTTTAAGGTAAATCTATAATAGGAAACATGGATTTAACTATTCAGTTTAGGAGGAGGAGGAGGAGGAGAAGGAGGAATTTATTTATTTATGTGTTTATTTATTTTTTAAAGGCTGAACTTTTATATTGGAGCAGAAGCAATCTGGAAGATCTAAATTAATTATTTTCCACTTATAAAGGCCAAGGCTAAAATTTTCAAACCTGGATGCCTGAGGTTAGGCACTAAATATTGCTTTAGGCACCTAAATAAAGTGACCTGATTTTCAAGGGTGCTATCTTGTGATTATGCTAAAGCATATGTTTTAGAAAACAATCAATCCTGATTTAAAGACTTCAAGTGATGGAGAATCCACTATATCCCTAGGCCTGTTGTTCCTTCCAATGGTTAGTTACCCTGACTATAAAAAAACCTACACCTTATGTATCTTACAAAGTTAAACTTTTAGCAAAACCTTTGCAATTTACTTTTAAAGTTATGCCAGTATTTTCCTTCCATGTGCCTACTTTGTGGGGGCGGAGGTATGTGCTATGCTTGAAGAATCATCTTTAGTTTTGTTGGTGGATAAAATCATGCTTTTTTTTTAATTAAAGGGAAAAATAATTTGTTTTTAATTGGCCTCTCAGAGTTGGTAAGACAACTCCCACCTGTTCA